CCCTGGACAGCCTCACAGGCCGCAGCTCTCGTCTGCATGCTGATGGCTCACACAGCTCTCTTCATGCCTCACCTGTCTCCTGCCATCCAATCCCACCTCTTGGCCTGGCTCTCAGACATCTCCCTTCGGGTGCCCTGTCATCATCTTACCCTGAACACGGACAAACCCAAACACCTTCACTTCCCTCCCAGCCTTCCCTCTTCACCACCACGATCGAGAGCCCCCAGCCCCTGTCACTCAGGCCTGCACCATGGGGGCTATTTCTGATTCCGCCCTCTCCCTTGCTGCCCATCCCGGCCATTTCCAAACTCTGCTGCTTCCTCCTCAGTGTCTCCAAGATCCCGTCTTTTCTTTCCATTCCCACACCAGATCTCTAGTCCAGGTCCTGACTGCTGCACCTGCCTCCCTCTGGCCACCCGGACGCTCCCTTTCCCTTTGGCCTATCAGAATCTAGCAATAGAGCCACCTTCCTTCTCCATCCATCTGATCACATCCCTCCCCTGGCTCCCATCAGCTCTGACATCAGATTTAAGCCTCTGGCCGCCACCTCCAAGACTCTGTTCAGTTCTGCCCCTCCCTGGTTATCTTTCTTTTTCAGTGTTGCATTCCCCCCTTCTCCTCTACTCTGCCTCTACTTCCCATCTGCCCATTTGTCATGCTCTCTGACAGCCAATCACCTCCAGCCTCCTCCCCATGCATGGACTCCCCATGCTCGTCCAAAAGGCCCCACACTATCCATATTTAAATCTCACTTAAAAGCCTTTTGGTGAATGTTGATAATCAATACAGAATTGTTTTTCCTCCCTGACATCTGTCTGTCCCTAGGGCAGGGGCTGTCCTTCCTTGGCTGTCTGGAAAAATCACATTGTGGAAGTGACTGCAAACAAAGCAGAAAGGGATGCAGTCTTATGCTTACTTACCCGGAAGACCATGATCTCTTCCACGTTGCAGGTTTAAGGCTGCTAGATCCAGTCCAATTATTTCTACCTGTTCAAAAAGCCGCTCCTGGAGCTCCTCAACCACCATTTGATTCTGTTTCATTAGTTTTGCATGGTCAACCAGCAGACCACGGAGAAGCGGGTCAATGCCACCTGCAATGAAGGTCAAGTCCAGAAAGAAACAGAACAGTCTGTAATAGATTCTACCTAGTAGGCTACATTTTGTGCAACAGAAGATTAGCCCCAATGCTCCCTTTGCTCCTCAGGGGTCACCTGAGATCCTTCCCGCTCTGATGGTTGGGGAGGTCATTCCTAGCTAACAGTATGCACCATGTTCCCCCTAAAGAATCAGAGTAGTTTTTAAGAATGTCTGTAGATGCAGAGGCCTGTTGGCTGAAAACAACATCAGCTGCTCAATGGAAGCCAAGCAGTTTTAGTAAACAAACTGCATAGGAAGAACCGGGAAGGCTTCTCCTTCAGGAAATATTGATCTTTGTGTTTTTACCTCACAGCAACAAAACAGGAGCTGGGAAAGGCCTCGCAGGCAGAGCTGGCTGGGCAATGTGTGTTTTGTTCCTGGGAAAAATTTCAGGGCTGTTGGTCATAAGCTGATGTTTAATTTCTAAAAAGCTACACCGTTCTTATCATGCTGAGTCTATGGCGGTGACTCAGGCTAGACCCACGAAGGGATTTAGGCCCCTAATTTCCAGGCCATAAGTCTGAATGCAACATTTAGGCAGCACCGAGATCCTTAAACCCCTGCTCCACTGCTGCCTAACTCG